TGTAATTACAATTTTACTTAATTTTTTTTACTCTTCATTTGCTTAGTCTATCTAAATCTTTTGTCAAGATGAATGCCAAAATTTTCATCTAGTTTAATTATGGTTAATAATTTAATTATTAAACATAGCAAGAGGACATGTTTCCTTGCGCCACGTGAAAGAGTCCTGCAAACTTTGGTGTCCCATGGCTTCTTTTCAAAACTTAAGTAAACTGAGAGACCGGTCATTGTAGTTCCATATCCTGTTCCATATATATTTTTTTAATAATCGATTTTTGGAAATTGATATTAACCACTTCATAACAAAAGAAATGTAGATAGATGGCATTTCTTTCACAGATATAGTAGAATTTAGATACAACTCCTACTGTAGATAAAATTGCTATTATGTTAACAGCTGTTACTGTTGCTAAATTTGTTGTAGTTGCTGCTCTTGGTTCAACTATTGTTAACCTCCACCTTCCGGTAGCGAACGATCAATTATAATATATAATTATAATTAAATAATTAATGATGGTTATTAAAAAAAGTATGCGTTATGTTTTAAACTAGCTGTAATTATGAATTCTACAATTATACGATGCAATGGGTTTTTATTTATATTGGTTAAACTTTTAAACTTTGATTCCTCTCTAAAAACTGATTATATAAAAATGAAAATAAATTAATAAAATTATAATAAATGATTAAAATTAAATCTAATTAATTAATAAATAAATGAGTAATTTCATTTGTTAAAGTACTGCAAATTGTGTCTATTTAACACCTTCATAAGGATTAGAAAAAAAAACTCTTAGTACACTTCTATTTTCTAGAAAAACATCTAAGCTACTGCTTCTTCTTATTCTCAATTTACCATCAATTCTGAATCTTATTGAAATAGAATGAAGTAATAATTTCTGATCACATATAATATATACTTTCTGCTCAAATAGTACCCGAATTTTGTTTTTTGTAACTACTCCTTAAGTAATAGACCTTTTTGAAAAATTATTTTTTGTTATATTGATACACCCTTTCTTGACATATGGTACGATTTTTACTATAAAAAATACTTGTTGTACGCAATTTTTTGACCAAACACGGCACCACTGTCATCGCTCAGGTACCATATTCGCCAGATCTGGCGTCGTGCGGCATTTTCTTGTTCCCGAAACTCAAATTGCCCCTTCGTGGTAAGTGTTTTGAGTCGATTGAATCGGTAAAAGAAAATTCACTGAAGGAACTAAAAGCCATAACTGAACGGGCCAACGAAAATTGTATGAAAGATTGGGTTAAGCATATGTTGGCATATGTTTTTGAAGCAGATAAAATAAATTTGGAATAAAATTTAAATTTGTGTGTTTTATTTACAAAATCCTCAAAACTTTTTAACAGCAAGTAAATATGCATTTATTTTATTAAAATATTACAAAACCATATTGAGTACCACGCCGCTGCACCACCATCTTCTGAGCACGAGTATTCACTACCGACAGTCAAATTTTAATCCAGATGAAATAGATTAAATGGAAAAGTGAATCTCTATATTTGCCAACATTACAATAGCGACTAATGCCAACACATTAGTAAACCATGAAGGAGTGTATATATTACCCATAACCCGATAGTGGGTACAACAGCTCTTCCAAAAACTTACTCAAATGCAGGAACGCTATTGCCTCACTCATAGTCAATGTTCAGATAGGATGCTCTGACAGAAAATTTTTTAGCTTATTTTCTAGATTTTCAGGGCCATCGAGTTAATTTTAAATAGATATGTTTGATATTATTTTCTGCCTTAAAAATTTTCTTGTTGACTTGTTAAAAAAAACTGCTTTGGTTATATTTATAAAAAAAAAACTCGATATTTTCAACTTTTAGTTAAAGTTTGTATCCAAAAAGCAGTCTCTTATGTTCATAAAATATGAAGAAAAATATTTTTAATAAACCTTAAGTTTTTCTTGAAAATTACATTATTGGCAAAATGTAATAATATATTTTGTATCCTTAATTTTTATAAATTTCCGCTTGGCCTGATAGATATATTCAGCATAAATTATATCATTAGGTCAATTTTAACAAATACGAATATTGTATAAATAAACTCTATTAGACCCCAAAGTGCACATTTCATTTGTTTAGTAAATTGACTTAACAAAGGCAATGTTGTGTCACAAATTGAAAATGGCTTTATTTTATTTGGGAAAAAATTGTAAATTTTGTTATGAATAATATTTTAAAAGTTTCCTGTTTTCTTTTTCCAATGGATTTTATGGTACGTTTTTGTGATGAAAAACCACAGACAAATTAATTTTGAAAGCCACAGAAAAATATTCTAATGCGGGTATTATTTTTCTTATTTTATGGACAAAACTTTTTTTCTCTACCATTATTTGTCATTTTATATCTTTTCATTTGAATTGGAAATAAGTAAAATGTGAGATACTTCGGTTGGTGTTGTTTATTTCATAAGCCACGAACAAAGCAAGCGTCACTTGGAATCTATCGACTAAAATAAAATTTATGCAATGTCCTAAATAACAAAGGACGTAGTGTAAATATTATTCTAAATGTTTAAGTTTTTTCTTATGTTTTATATTCTGTTTAATTTTTTAAAGTTTCTTTCTTTTAATTATTAAATATACTTTTATTTACTTTTAAATTTTGTTAAATTTAATAAATAAAATTAAAATTATTTTTTATTAAATTTTATAAAATATAATCTGTTTAATATAAGAAAGAAAGAATTATCAGTTAATTATATTATAGAATAAACTATATTGTTCAACGAGTTTGCGATGCCACATCTATTAGCCAGCTGAATTTTCATCTTTCATAAAAGCATAATCAACATTTACAACATATTATTGTACATTTATATTTTAATATGGGAAAAAGTTTGTTATTTTTTATTTCTTAGTTTAACAGTTTTAACGATAAAGAAAATTTATTTCGAAATAAAAATTGTATTTGGTTAGGTTAGGTTATGTTGACATGGCGAAGTTGCATACCAAGAAAATCCAATTGAGTTCAAATAGTGATCCGTTGTGGTACCACAGGAATAACGTTGGTTCGTACGTAGACTATAAGGTCAGTATACAATCAACGCCGAAAAAGGAAACGCCTTTCGTATATGGTAAAGCTAATGGAACCTAACAATTCTATAAATTTGGCTAAATCCGCAATATTGCATGATGAGAAGAGAAGAAAGTTTTCTTTTCGTTCTCAGAGCCAAAGCCGCGACAAGGGTCATTATAGGGAAATCCCAGTCTCATAGTATGCCTCTCTATTAAGCAATGGCCCGTCACTATTGATACCGTAGTGGTGAGCAGGTATGTTTTTTACTTTGAAGATATCAGTCTAAGAAAGATATCAAGATTTCCTGGTATATTCGAAAACTTTGTATAGAGGTATTTATATTGAAACCATAACCAAGTTTAGAAAGGTAAGAGCAGCACCAAAAGTTTATAATAAATTGGATGTTTATTTCAAAATTGCTTTGGTTCTATTGAGAAGAACTCAAAGGCACAAAGGCAGATTCACCGATATCTGTCTTCTGTGGTACTTTTTTTTTTATTTTTGCAGTAGATGAAAATCATCAAATGTCACAGTGTAAGGCTTTAACCCACTAAAACCTTCTCTTAAGTATGAATGGAAAAAACTTCCACCGCAATATAGAAACTTTATTTCATTAATTAAGGGGGAAAGATGTAGTCAAGAAGTTTTATACCTAGAGATCCTGGCTTATCTAAGCCAGAAAGCATGGACGGAGAGTATGTGGAGGGGGGTAAGAAGGGTCTATGGTACTTTAAACTTCAAGTAATATTATAATAAAAGTGTTTCCAATTGACTACTGGTTTCCCCAGTAGGAATCAAACGCGGTTCACTTAGAGGAAGAAGTAAAGATGTTAACTGTTACCAATTCCTTTGAATCTCAATTTACAACATAACAATAGAATAAAATTTCAAAATTTCAAAAAATAAATAAATAATAATAAAAGTAATGCTCTACGGAAAGTAATACTCATTTCTAGCTATTACAATCCTATTACACTACAAAACAGTGTAATTTAATTCTTCTATCATTTTTTAGTAATTTTAATGTTGAAAATAATTTTAACTTTAAAAAAATTCCATGTTCAGTAATTAATTTAAACATATCACATTGAACAAATTAATTATTTTTTAAAATAATATTACACAATTTGAAACTGAACACATAAACCATAATCCCTAGTAAATGCTAAATGTATATCTATCATTTATAGTTGTTATTTACTCGTTAAAATATTTTTGGGTTTGGAGCATTTCAGTGCGGTTAGTTTGTACTTAATCACCTGCTTGCGCGCATATGTATAACTACGGATATAACCCAGCTTGGTTAAAAGTGTGCCACATAAT